TTGTAATGCTTACATTCAGTGCGGGGAGCGCCAACTATAAAGCGGCGAGTGCTAAACCCCACGCACCTGCCACCTTTACCTAGTACCTGTGCACCTGTACCTATGTCCTCTTCATCCAAATACAGCTAAATGGATCAATAATAAAAATGATTTAAAATATCACATAATCGATATATCGAATACAAATAAATAATCACAATCTAACATAGTAAATTTCCTTCCTTGGGCCCTGTTACAAAATAAATTCTATTTTCACAGGAACTATTTATATTAAACAGGAAACAGCTAGTTATATGATGGTACTAGGTCTAGCTCCAGTAATTAATGCTATGATCAAACGTTCCTTTGAGCTTTTGCTGAAGCGTTGCAATGTTACTTGCGTGGTATACATTTTGTACACGGTATTTTAATATGATACATTGTGGGTTAGTTATATGCTGTAATAATAGGAATTCGAATAAGAGGGGAAATAGGCTTTAGAATTAGGCTTTAGTTATCAAAACTTAATGTAAATAAAGTTGTCTTATTTGCTTTTCCTTATGGAAAAGGTATGTCACAGACCGAAAACAATGCTAGGTACAGATGCAATAATAAAATTCATACAATGACACTGTATACGTATAATAAACAATTTGAATTTATTGACACTAATGTCATCATTAGTTATAATTACTTTTTGACAAAAGATAACTATTATCTTTGTAATTATTATATTGGACAAGTAGCAAATTCGCTATCATATTGTATTTTGAACGCAGCCAAATGTTTGGCTAACCAATCTGCTCCTATTGAGCAGGTAGATAATAGTACCTTTATTCAAGATACCTTGGAATTTGTTCCAAGTAATTTAAATTAGATTTTAAGACAATAGAGGTGATCTCTGGCAATAGTTCTAGTCATAGTTGTTTATTAGGAGATCCATCAAATTCCTTAAATGTCAATAATAAAATCAATAATAAGCATATTTTAAATTTAGTACATCAGAATATTCAGGGTTTGATGGGTAAAGAATTGGAGTTGGAGTTGTTCATGAACTGTAATAACATTGATATCTTATGTATTACTGAACATTGGTTAAAGGACCACCAGTTCATGTTCAGCTTCAACAATCATCTGGTAGCCAGCTCGTTCAGCAGAGTTAATTTAATACGTGGAGGCTCTTTAATTATTGCTCGGAATAATCTTAAATTTAAAGAACGTACAGACATAGTGAGCCTGTCTGTTGAGCGAGTTGCTGAGATAGCATGTATTGAGCTTGAGCAGTTCATTTTATTAAGTGTATACAGGCCCCCATGTGCTTTATATGATACTTTTGAAAAAATCCTAGAAGATGTATTAATAAAAATATCTAATACTAATAAAACAGTTGCCGTCTGTGGAGACTTTAACATTAACTTATTAGATAAATCTAGTATTGTTAATAGATTTTTAATCTTATTGAAATCATATAATTTATATAATATTTTCCTTGAGCCAACTAGAATAACTGCCACCAGTGCCACTTGTATTGACAATGTTTTTACAAATGTGAAGCCAACTTTCTATTCAATTATTAATCTGTTAGATTCAGATCACTGTGGCCAGTTGGTTTCATTTACTAAAGACATTGTTAAAGCAAATCGAAAAAATGTTAATTTTGTTCCAGTAACCAGTTATCGTTTAGAACTTTTTAAAAATAATTTAAATGAAAAACTGCCTGGTTTGCCTTATCACAATAACCCTGACCAAGCTTACTCTTCATTATTTAACATGATTAATTCTCAGTTTAAGAAGGTTTTTACATCTAGATCAGTTTCTGTAAGTGATCGAGTTTTGTTTAGTGACTGGGCAACACCAGGTATTTTTAAAAGCAGAATAAGATTATTTGAATTATATAATGAAAGGAACCATGATCATAGTGAAAGGTTTAGGGAGTATGTTAAAAATTACTCTAAGACTTTTAAGAGAGCCTGCGCTGCCGCAAAATCTTTACACATTAAAAACAAAATACAATCTTCTGCAAACAAAATTAAAACTACTTGGAATATTATTAATTCTGAAATAGGAAGAACCACAGTTAAGAATAATGATTTTCATCTTAAAATTAATGATATAGATGTTAGGGCGGATTTGGAGGTGGCAACCGAGTTTGAATCTTTTTTCACTAATATTCCTGTATTAACAACTCAAACTTTGTTGTCGTCTTCCGGCTCCGCATACAACATACTTAAAGACTGTGTCGCAGAATGTGGGACAAGTTTTGAATTTACAGTTGTTAGTGCTAAGGACATTCTAGATGCATTTAAAGATTTAGAAGTAAAAAAGTCCACCGATCTTTGGGGGTTGTCAGTTCAAATCTGACATCTGGTGTGTTTCCGGACTTAATGAAGTTAAGCAAGGTGATTCCACTCTTCAAATCTGGTAGTACAACCGATCCTACGAATTTTCGCCCTATCTCAATTTTGCCTACACTGAGCAAAATTTTTGAGAAAAATAATTTTAAAGCAAATGCTAAAGCATTTTAACAGACAGAATCTTTTTCATTCCAAACAATTTGGATTTACTAAGGGTCGGTCTACTGCTGATGCAGGTGTGGAACTACTCAAAAATGTATTCGAGGCTTGGGAGAATTCACAGGATGCTTTAGGCATATTCTGTGACTTGTCCAAAGCTTTTGACTGTGTTTGCCATGACACACTTATCAAGAAACTACACCACTATGGCATTAGAAATAAGGCTCTTAGACTTCTCAGTTCATATTTAGACAATAGAATACAAAGTGTAGATATTAATGGCAAAAAATCAAAAGGATCTGTGGTAACTATGGGTGTTCCGCAGGGTTCAATTCTAGGTCCTTTCTTACTCCTTATCTATATCAATGATTTACCTTTTTGTGTAAGGGATGATCACAAAATCCTATTATTTGCGGATGACACTTCGCTTGTTTTTAAAGTTAAGCGTCAACTTGAAAATTTTGACCAAGTTAATTTGGCACTATCTAAGGTTGTCCATTGGTTTAATGTTAATAATCTGCTTTTGAACTCAAGTAAAACTAAATTAATAAAATTTTCTACGCCTAATGTGAGGCAGTTAAGCACCAATGTACAACTGAATGGAGTAGAGTTGGACCCTGTTGAGTCAACTGTTTTTCTTGGCATTACTGTTGACGCCAAACTACAGTGGGGCCCACACATTAACAAATTGTCTGGAAGGCTCAGTTCAGCTGCTTATGCTGTAAGGAAAATTAGACAAATTACTGATGTGGATACAGCCAGAATTGTTTATTTCAGTTATTTTCATAGCTTGATGATGTACGGCATTCTCCTTTGGGGAAACTGTGCGGATATTAATACAATCTTCTTATTACAAAAAAGAGCTGTCCGCGCTATATATAACCTGGGTCCTAGAGTTTCTCTCCGAGAGAAATTCAAAGAGATAAACATTCTGACTGTAACTTCACAATATATTTTTGAAAATTTACTTTATGTTCACAAAAACGAACCTGATTTTGTCAAATTGTCTGATCTTCACTCCCGAAATACTAGGAACAAAAATAATTTAACAGTTCATGCTACTCGCCTTCATAGAATAAGCAACTCGTTCATGGGTCAATGTATACGCTTTTACAATAAACTTCCTATGGATGTTCGTAAACTTCCCCTTAAGAAATTTAAATTTTTTATTAAATCAAAATTATTAACTAAAGGATATTACAGGATATCCGATTATTTAAATGATAGAAACGCCTGGGATTGAGCTGCTCACTTATACAGCTATCGCTTGTGTTTTTTTAAGCTGTCTTTCACTTTTTTTTTTTTTTTTTTTTGCATGTTGTACATATTTACAATCTGACATGTCTTGTGCTTTTGCATATGCATTTTATTTTATTCTATTGACATGTTTGTGCTTAGTGCATATTCATTTTTTTACATTTTTTTTTCTCTACATTACTGACATGTTTTGTGCTTTTGCATACAATATTTTACACTTTGACATGCCAAGTGAATAATGTTTATATTACGATTATATTTTTCAATTTCATTATTTTTTCCTTGCTTTAAGGTACACCTTAAAAATACATTTTGTATCCATTGTAAGTGTAAACATTATGCGGGTATATCATAAACTCTTTTGCTTGATTTATAATTTGATACATTTTAGTATATAGTTATTTTGGGCTGGCGATCTGAGTGAGTTGTTGCCCCACATATTTTTATGGTGCCACTGGCGGTATTGCTGTGTACCGGGTTGTGCAGCTCCCTCAAAAATGGTTGAGCTGCATGAGCTATTCGGGGCATGCTTGCCGTCTGCTGGCACAGGCTTGCTCAGATCGATCTGGTTCTTTCTTCCAAAGACCAGTCCAGTAAATACTCTGCATTTGTTTACACCAATTTATTAATTTATTATTGTATTATCTGGACTATAAAAGAGACTAAGACCCCCGAGTTTGTTTCGACATTTCTTCTCAGGGCAGTCAGTTAGGAAATGTCGACTTCATCTAGTTTAGGATGACATTGTAAAAGTGATTTATATAGTCCTACTTGCAAGAATAAACTATTTCATTTCATTTCATTGAATAATTACTGAATGTTAGCCAGCTGCTATTTTCGACTATTACAAGAATTCGAGATATTAATATAATTAATACCGTCTAATTTTCTTTCGTACTCTTGCTTCGTGATTTAAAAACAAAATAGACAAAATAATGATACATTAAGTTCAGCTATTAGCTTAATATTAAGTAATCGTCCTTTTACTGTAGGCTCACTGTTTGTGTAGAATGTTTTCTTGAAATTTTGGATTGTAGGAATATGATTAAACAGTTAAATAACAAATATATATTTAACACACTTTTTCATATACTACTTCTAAACGTTAGAAAGATTATGATTATGTAAAAAGTATGCAGTAAAATTATTCTTTGATTGTTTCAGATGACACTACAGGAGCAAGATGAGGATACGACGCAAAATACACGATAAAAAATACAAGATACTTTAAAGGATGGTTCAGTGACAAACATGATAGAAGACGGTAGCCGCGACTCAAAGCGCGCTTACCGAAAATCAGAAATAATTGAAGAACCTAATTGCTGCTTCGAAGCCATCGACGATACCAAACTCTTCTGCTGCAGATGCGCTCACAAGAAGCGAGCGTCACCTCTCACCTGCCTCGCGATATGCTTCCTCGTTCTCACTTACAACCTCCTGGGTGGATTCCTCTTCCTCGCAATAGAAGGAAACACAGTGATAGAAGAAACTGCTGTAGCAGAATCGAAGCCAAATTTAAGTTCACAGGAAAGCGGCGATTTGCGCTCGAAAACAGTCGAGAAGCTCTGGTCAATAACGGAAGATCTTAATATTTTGTACAAGGAAAACTGGACGAAATTGGCTGCGAAGGAGTTGATGGATTTTCAAAAGGTTCTGATGAAGTCGATACGCGGAGTCGAAGTTGGCCAGATACATTTCGATGACGCCGAGTATCGGTGGACTTTTGCAGGCAGTTTTTTGTATGCCCTGACGCTGATTACTACAATTGGTAAGTTGTTATTATTTTCATACATTTTTTAATGAAATTTTTAGCAAATACAAGTAATTTGAACAAAGCTTATATAAAATTCATTCATTACTTAGATGAGTCTACATTTGCCATTGGCTATATTACTCGTATCATGCATACAAATGTATCAATGTAATGTTAGAAGCATTTAATGTATATTTCTTTTTTGACGTTCATAAGTGTACATTGTGTTACCTATATGAATAAATGAGTTTTGACTTTTGATATTGATTGTACAAAAAATATTTTTAAATCTTACTATCCTTGTAGAGTAGTATAAATATTTTAACAAACTTTTGCCTGTTGGAGTGATGCTGTTAAAAATGTATTGATTCATGTATTTTTAAAATCTGTATGAAACTATTTTTATTTTACTATAAAGTATCTATTTTTGTATTATTTGAATTTATAATACTAATAGGAATTTCGTTGCTAATAAATATATCTTAGATTTTTTACATTTTATACATTATTTTTATCGTGTTATCCTATACATCTTATATCCTAGTTACCTTCAGTACCGATCGGAACCTCTTCACGGGTAAAGGCCTCCTCCAGCTTTTTCCAACTGACTCTGTCTTTGGCTTTCTTTCTCCATTCACTTCCTGCTACCGCTTCTATTTCTTCCATCTACCTTTTTTGGGGCGCCCTCTTCTCCTTCTTCCCCTTGGTCCTTTCCACACAATTTCTTAAAAGACATAGCTGATCTATATCGGCTTCTACAATTGTAGGTTAAAGCAACTCCTCTGTTAATTAACTTTTACCTTTTCCTTATAAAAAAAAACTCCACGATCAATAATCAGTAATATAATATTAAGAATAAAACATAAGAAGTAATTATATAGGAAAGGTTCTTACTGTACAAATTATTTTATTTTTACAGGTCATGGTAACGTGGCGCCGAAGTCGTCGACGGGGAAGATAGTGGCAATTGTGTACGCGTGTGTGGGCATACCGCTCATAATGCTCTATCTCTCCACGATCGGCGAGGCACTCGCAAGAAACTTCCGTTCCCTGTACTCCAGAATGTGCCCATCGCGCCTCAGAAGTGGAGACTTCCACTCAAAAGCCGAGTGTTTACGCTACACCTTACCCATAGCGGAGTGCGAGAGAAACGAAAAGATTTTCGATCGTCAAAAACGGACACCTTTTACAGCCGCTCTCAACCTTGACAATTTCAACAGCGGTTATCATTGGACGTGTCGGGACCATACACGAGTGCCAATTGTTCTTAGTTTACTATTAATCGCCTTGTATATAGCGTTAGGTACTTTTATATTCCATTCAACAGAAAAGTGGAACTTTATTGATGGCTGTTACTTTTCATTATCAAGCCTCGCGACGATAGGGTTCGGTCATCTTAAGCCGGGACTATACGCCAGCACAGTATCGGCAAAAGCTGAGGACATTGCTGTGGGAGTGTGTTGTATCTATATACTAGTGGGGATAGTTATAGTTGCAATGTGTTTTAATTTAATCCAGGAAGACATGAGCGTAGCTGTGCGCGGCTTCACCGCTCTGTCGATGGGTAGCGCTAAGTCGAGAGCTGTACACAGTGAAGCGTGTGATGAAAAGATAGCTATGGCTGTCGTCTCTTGACACAGGGAGACGGCCGACGGGCCGTCTATAAATTGCCACGATAAACGACCCCAAGTTACGTTCAAAATAGACAGTTCGAATCCGACAAAATTCAATAGTTTGCCACGGAGGAAATCTACGGCGTACGGCGAGGAAAGTTTTCAGAGGAATACGCCAGTTCGCCGTTCAGCGGGTCACGTTGATCGATGTATAGAGTACTTTGTGCCAAGAAGTCTGAGTGAGTTTAACTTAAGTGGGACGGGTGGTGGGGAGTTCTGTGCGGTAAGTACTTTTGGCGACAAGAGCCGGAGAGATAGGAAGGATAAAATGGTGACGTTTGAGGACGATCGGTCTGACACCGAACGCACACTACCGGACGATGTGTTTATGTGACTGTACACACACATATGTATGTTGGAATAAACACCGTTTGTTACTTAATAAAGTTTTACAATTATATGTTGTTTAATTTACTATCTTTGACTGTAAACTGAACTCTGAGACCAAGTTTAAATATCAATTATATACTATATACTTCAACCACAAAACCAAATTGTAAATTATACATAGTCAGTACAATTAATTTTGAAGTTATTAACAATTAGAAATTTCTTTCTATCGCGCTTTAAGTGTCACTTAAAGTAAATAAATAAATATAAAAAGTAATTACACAACAACATGAAATCAACTTAAGAATATAAGCTATAAGACAGAAAGACTTTTAATTGCAATCAATTAAATAATACCAAAAAATAATATATATCATAAAAATATATTAGATTATTAATCATAAGCTGTTCTGAATCTAGCCACAAACACAATAATAGTGAGTTCACGAGACATTACCAGCAAATATGTGATCAAAGTTCAAACGTGATATTAAAACGGAGATATCTCGATAATTCCCCAAACATCAGTCCCGTGGGTCGATCGTCAAGTAGGTTAATCTGCCGTCGGATCCACTAAGCAGCGTCCACTATCCGGTCCAAACTTATGTAACCAGTATTGGTAAGTACAGATTATTTGGGATTATGTTTTTAGGCTACGTTATTCGCGACCTGAAAATTGTATATTTTATAACTATTCTATAACCCCATGTTCCAGATTTTAACCAATTGTTACTCATTGGTCTAGTGGTTAGTACCCCTGACTGCGAATACATGGGTCCGGGGTTCGATCCCCGGCTGAGACGAACATCGATGTGATGAGCATTTGGTGTTGTGCTTAGGTCTTGGGTGTTTAAATATGTATGTCTATCTATCTATAGTATGTATGTATATCCGTTGCCTAGTACCCATAACACAAGCTTCACCAGCTTAGCATGGGACTAGGTCAATTGGTGTGAATTGTCTATAAAAAAAAAATTGTTTGTGATGAAAAAAAGCGGACTTAGTATATTATTTATTAAAGAAAGGTAATTTCCTTATATTCATCAAATTCTTTTAGTCAGTACACGAAATCAACGATTAGTATCTAAATAAGTATTTCTCGAAATAAGACATAAAGTGTTTCAATATATCTTTTATCGGACATAAACGCGAATTTTTTATACTAACTCAACATTTCCAGTGATTTATGGTAGTACATCGTATCACTCGTATACTATGTGTATTGTAAAACATAAAAAAATCGTTCTGCCTTAACTAAAAAAATATATAACTAAAAATTAGTTTTAGTTTTAAGATTAGGAATAGAATATCGATAAAATTCCATTAAAGCTAGTTCTACAATTACGACAATAACTTTACTAAAATACTTTGTCCAGCCTGCAGTCGGTCTTTCAATTGGCTTCTTTATCATTGTATTGTCTTTTATTGACATAACTTTTACACATTTGATAATAAAACAATTTTTTACCGGATTGAAGTTATGTATTTACAATATCTTTTGTCTTCAGTCACCGTGACCACGCACGCTGTAAAGCACGCGAAACGTCGGTTAAATTTAAAATTACGAAAAATAATTGTAAATACATAACTTCAATCAGGTAAAAAATTGTTTCTTTATCATTACCAAAAATACGTAGGGATTCTTAGCGAAAAGCTAATTCCAACTTTTTTGATAATTTCGCAGGACCATTGTGTTGACCAAACCAAAAAAGTATGATAGGTGTATAAGAAAATATTTTTGAATTTTTCACATAGATTATTAAAATACTGCATGTCAAAACAATTAACCGATACTATTTCCCAATTATTCGTTCACCTCATTCGTTCAGTAATATTAGAAACTATTATTTAAAGTGTATGTAGTGGTAATAAAAAACAAATAAAAACAAAATAAAGCTTGAGCTTTATACTTTAACGAATTTAAGGTGAGTAACCACAACCCAAACTCTATAGTCCCTTGTCGTTCTTACCTGTATAGGGGACATGCAAAGAAAAACTTTCAGCTTTTATAAAATAACGATGTTCTGGCTGTCGCGGTGGGCTTTTAGTCTATACAGATATTTCCGTTTTGGCTATGTTTTTAATTTAAAACTTGAAATTTATATTAAAAGTAAAACTTTATTGTATTTCTTATCAATCATATTATACGCACAAAAACACTTCAAAGATAAATTACGTTTTTAGATATTGTGCTACGCAATTTCGTTACACCGCCTTGCTTCACTACTACGCTTGCTACGCTTTTTGCTACGTCAGCCTGAATACGCAGTTGCCGCAAGATGCTTTCGTGGAAAGGCTATTATAATGAATTATAAAAAAACTAATTTAAGGTTAGGTATTCTTAGGTATATATATTATAAAAAATAATACTTATTAAAGTTATTTAAAAACTCTTCCCCTTTATTTGTTGCTGGCATCTTCATAGATATCTGTAGACCTAGCATTGACTTACTAGACTTACCTTAATTATGGATTTCAGAAACTACTCAGTTATAACGTGTACTGAGCTAAATTGCCAAAGCGTATTGTTAGTTAAGCCGATACACGACTCTCAAAGCCAATATTCTAATTAGAGATTAATTAATGCATTGTTAATCTTGTTTTCAAAATATTTTCAACATCTAAAGGCGTGCGTTCGAATCCTGACTGTTTCAATGTATTTTTATATAAGGAAAGCGGCTCAAAATACAAATAACCTACTTACGATTAAAAAACTATAATTATATTCACCTAAATAAAATAATTTATCTACCAAATCACAAATGTTTTATGAATTGCATAAATTCTAAAAGTTGGATAGTACTCCCAAGAAGAAGAAATAAAATTTCACAGAACAATAAATCCTTTTAGTTTCAGCAACCAGGTTATCTTACAATGCCTTATATTCTATATAATGAATGGGGGAAGCTCTTACTTAACATAAAATAATATTATAATGAGTTGCGCTGCTCCAACGTACAGTAATGAGAAAATGAGTTAAATGCGGATATCATTTAAATGAAGATAATTGACAACACAAATATGAAATTATTATTACATTTATGTATAAGGAAAACTTTATTATAATTATTCGACACTTGTATATTATAAGACTATTTTGGTAATATAATAGAGAGCCCTTCGTCTTCCTTCTATTATTACAAGGTGTACAGACAAAAGATAGACTTCCAGGAAAAACAAACGTGGGAGGATCACAAAAGCTGGTCTGACGACATCGTAAAGTTTTCTACGGAGGAATTGATGGACGGAAAGTTCAGGAGGAGACCTTTACCGCTATGTGTAATAACAATTTAGGTATTACGGACTTATTACTTACTAGTAACAAGTTATCTATTTATTTCATTTATTACCTACTAACTATAGCTATTTCCCATTCGACTCGCACAGTCATAATTAGTGAAACAGATCACATGACACTGTGCATATTGCTATCGATATGAAATCAGTGCATTTAATTAAATCAGGTTCTACGTGCTGTCGTGTTCACACGAGGCTCTAACAATACCTACCACAGTTTACTAACTTTATATAAGTTTTGTAGTTAGGAAAATGCGACGGAGAATATAGATTTGTTCAACCACAAGCAGTCATTGAATACTATGGCTGCTTGTAGTTAAACGCGTAAGAGGTAATTTTATTGTAGCGTAGAAGTACACAAACGATAGCAATTTCTAAGGACTATTAATTAAAATACACCAACATTTTGTTCATATATAAAATAAATAAAAGAATGAGTGGCGCTACAACCTTTTTAGGTCTCGGATTTCTGTATCTGTTTCACAATCTTTTGCCAATCTAATAGGCTTCAGGATCAGTCTCCTGTGCCGGACACACGCCGTCGACGCGGTCAAACGCAAGCCGGTTTTACTCACGGTGTCTTCCTTCATCGTTCGAAATAGAAAGAAAGTCCATTGGTGCACAGCCAAAGATCGAACCGGTCAGGAAAGCTACTGGGCCAACACTGTTCACTTTGTTCACACATATATTAGATTTAATTAATTGAAATATATAGATAACTAGCTGACCCGGCAAACGTTGTGGGCCTTTGCATGTATATTCTATTAAAGAAAATTAAGGGGTTGTATGTATTTTTGTAGTGATGTATCATAATCGGGCGTCGAGGCAGAATAAAAATTCCCCCCGTATCACCTTGCGCCGAAAAACCACAACTGCTTTCTGAAGGCAGTGGATGCCGACCCCACTATTGAACCTAGGGGTTTGAAAGATAGACAGTAGCCGATTCGACTCAGAATTACTGAATATGCATAAAAAAATTCATAAGCCGGCAATCAGTCGAGCCGTTTCGGAGGAGTATGGGAACGAACATTGTGACACGACAATTTTATATTTTAGATATAACTTTTGAAAATCACTTTAAAATGTAAATATTTCCATAATTTGTTCAATGACTTCTCACACAATGTTTAAATCTTATGATATTTGAGTAGTTTCATAGCAAGGAGACTGATACAGACTCGCCTCTTTTACTAATTATAAGATATCTTTCTGAGCATTCTACAAAAAAACATTTTAAAAATGAACTGAGTAAACAACTAAGTTCCAGCCAAGCGGGTAATTCACGGAAAATAAACTGTTTTTAATGATTCCGTATTTCTATCAATTAATACTACA